GTTCCCTCCTGACCCCACCACTCCGGGGGAAGAGGGGCGGCCGGGATCGCGGCCTCGAGTGCCCGCTTCGAAGGCGCAACCGGTGCCAGGAACCCCGACTGCCGCGCGGGCCTTCGGCACCCCAGTGGGGCCAGCCTGCAGCGCTGCGACGCCGGGTTGGGGGCGACGAGGCTGCGCTGCCAAAAAGGCGAGCAGTTTGGGAAGGCCGAGGGTCTGGGGACGAAGCGTGGGAGGGGTGGCCCGCGCTGCTTCCTGGGGAGGACACGGCGGGGGGTCACCCGGCTACTGTGGACACGCACAGCCGCTGCCCCTCCCGAGCCAGCCTCGGCGCGGGCTCGTGCGAGCGGCCTTCCCTCCGCGGACTCCTGCGCCCTCCGGCGGCGGCGCGGCGAACGACACTGCTTGTTCCCGCAGGATGCAAATAAAGCTTTCTTATTCAAAAACAGGAAGTGCCTACGGGGGCCGGGAGGCGGCGGAGGCCGGGCATGAAGCCGGGCGGCACCCGGACTGCGCGCGGTGGCCGCGGCGATGAGCGACATAGTGGAGAAGACGCTGACGGCGCTGCCGGGACTCTTCCTGCAGAAACAGCCCGGCGGCCCCCGCCTTGTCGTCGCGGCTGGGCAGCCTGGTCCGCGGCATCACCGCGCTCACCTCCAAGCACGTAGGTGCCGCCGGGCCGGGAGGGCAGGGGCGTCGGGTGAGCCCGGCCCGCGAGACTCGGGGCCCGCTGGACCGGGCGTCGGGGGCTGTCGGTGCTCCGTCCGTCCTTCCGTCTGGCCGGCGGCTTCACTCTCGCGCTGGGGAGGCCGGGTGTCCGCACTTGGCCCTGACACTCGTTCCGATTTGGGGCCAGTCTGCACCCTCACCGTCCGTGTGTTTTCTCAGCTGGGAAGGGGAAAAGTCCCGACACGCACGCACAGGTCGCTTTGAACGTCAGTTGAGGTGCCAGGCGTGCCGAATGCGCAGGCGATGGGAGTGTCGGGCGTCATTCACCTTCTGAAAAGTTTCTTTCTCCGCCCAGTCCTTTCCTCTGCCGCTGTCACAGACCTGCAGAGCCTGCCCTCCGAGCTTGCTATTCCATGTTTTCGGGGAGCTTGAGGCTCTGGGGTTAGAGCAACGAATGGGGTGGGCAAACAAAAAGCGTAATTCCCCCCAAATGAAATATTTGCTGAGTAAGTCTCTGCCTCATGTGGGGATTTAATATGAGTGGTTATGATTGAAGTTCCCACAGTCTTTCGATAGTTCCACAGATTGTCATTCGAAGCTTTAGGGAGTTTATATCTTTTTTTTGGGAGAGGTTTTTGCTATACCTTGCGTGCGCTTGGCCAGAGAGACAGAAAGTGAGAGTCATCCCCTCCGGGGGGGGGGGAATGACCACGCCGCAGTCCTGTGTCTTCTCCAGGTATTGAGGACGAAGGTACACGTGTTTAATCCCCTGGCGCAGGACTCGAACTATGGTAGAGTACATGGGAGTCCAGTGACATAACCGTTACGCCATCTGCTGGTCCCAGGGGGTTTATATCTTAAACCGATCCCGTGTTAGGGCATGATTTCTGGAGCAGAGTTGCGTGTTAAACATAGGGTACAATAGAACAAAGCACATTCCCCTTTCCCGAGAAATCGGTTATCTATTTTGGGCTTTTGCAAATGCAGGGGAGATTACAATGCAATGTAAGTCCCACAAGAGAAGAAAAGAAAAACAAGGTTCTCTGAAGGTTTCAATTTAAGAAAAAAATAATATAAATTTTTAAATTTAAATTTTAAAATTTTTCAACTTTTTATATTTGAAAATCACTATTTGTATATTTAATCTGGTCTTCACAGTGTGTTTGCTAATTTTTATGAGAGGCGGGAAGTATTTTGAAGATTTATATTTGGTCAGGAACCAGCAGTTAGCGTAATGGCTATGTCGCTGGACTCCTACGTAGTTGACAGCGGTTCGCGTCCTGGACCCGGTGGCTTAAAACTCATGCCAGGCGCGTGTGCATGCGTGCCCAAGATCCCGAGAGGAGAATGGAGGAGAAGGGATTGCCGTGTGGCCATCCTCCCTGGGGGGTGATTTCTCGCTTTCTGTCTCTATGTCTCTGTCTTTCTGTCTGTATGTCTGGCGGGCGCCCGCGCCCTATAGTGAAAACCTCTCCAAAAAAAAAAAAAAGATTTATATTTGGTCATGTTGCACTTTGAAACTGTACACAGGCATCCAGGTGTGCCATTACTTTACTGGTAGTTCTTGATAAACCACCTAATGATGGACATGTGCTAATTTTATGTATGATTTAAAGATACAGTAGTATTTTATCGGCCAAAAATGGGACCAATTTTAAGTGCTGAACAAAAAAAAAAAAAGCAGTGCAAGACAGTAGATGTGATCCTACTGATACCGTGAGAGTAGAAGTGAGGGAAAGGATAAGAGAGAAGAATATAGTTCAAGGGAAAAAGACCTATTTCTGTTTCTGCTTTCTTACCCTATTTGTCTATTTCATGGGGACTTTTTATTTCTCTTTTTTGGGGGCAGAGGTTTTTGTTATAGGACGCATGCGCTTGCTGAAGAGACAGAGACAGAAAGGCAGAAAGCAAGAAATGACCCCCGGGGGTGTGGCACAGTGCAGTCCCATCTCCTCCATTCTCCTCCCGGGGTCTAGAGCACATGCGCCTGGCGTGAGTTACAAGTCACTAGGTCCAGAAACTGAACCAGGGTCGACTATCTAGAAGTTCAGCGAAGTAACCATATGCCATCTGCTGGTGTGGAGGACTTTTTATGTCTAAGGGGAATATATGAAACTCTTACCCTGGGCCAGTTCTTTGAGAATTTCTCCTCTCCATGTTCAGTTTATTTTTTTTTTAAGTTTGTTATAGGGCATGTGAGCTTGCAGGAGAGAGCCACACGGCGGGAATGAGAGCGAGAGGAGGAGTGTGTATGAGAGAGGGAATGTGATAATCACTGGCCACACCACAGTCCCTTCTCCAGTCTTCTCTTGGGAGTTTGGACACCACATGGCTGGCATGTCCTGTGCTTCAAGCCTCTGATCTAAGACTTGAACCACGCAGGGAACCAGCAGTTAGCAGAATGGCTATGTAGCTGGACTCCCACGTGGTCGACCGTGGTTTGCGTCCTGGACCCGGTGGCTTAAAACCCACGCTGGGCGCATGTGCGTGCGTGCCCAAGATCCCGAGAGGAGAATGGAGGAGAAGGGATTGCGGTGTGGCCATCCCCCCTGGGAGATGATTTCTTGCTTTCTGTCTCTCTGTCTCTCTCTGAATGTCTGGAGAGCGTACGCGCCCTATAGTGAAAAACCTCTCAAAAAAAAAAAAAAAGACTTGAACCATGCAGTCACACATGTAGAATCCAGCAGCTTTAACCTACACACCACCTACCTTCAGTTTTCTTTCTTTTTAAAGAATTATTATTTTAATTTTATTATTATTATTTTTATTATGTTTAAATTTGACCAGAGAGAGAGGGAGAGAAGGAGAAAGTGAGACATAAAGCTGCCGGGTTCAGAGAGAGAGGGAGAGAAAGAGAAAGTGAGACATAAAGCTGCCGGGTCCAGGACTCAAACTACTGTCAACTATGTGGGATTCCAGCACCTTAACCATCATACACTACCTGCTGGCCCCTCACCTTGAGTCTTTTTTTTTTGGAGAGTTTTTGCTATAGGGCACGTGTGCTCGCCAGACAGACAGAGACAGAGAGATAGAAAGCGAGAAATCACCCCCTAGGGGGGATGGCCACGCCGCAATCCCTTCTCCTCCATTATCCTCTTGGGGTCTTGGTTACGCACGCACATGTCCCCAGCATGAATTTAAGCCACCGGTTCCGGGACTCGAACTGCTGTTGACTATGTGGGAGTCCAGCGACATAGCCATTACACTAACTGCTTGTCCCCTCCCCTTCAGTCTTTTTTTTTTTTTTCCTTTTTTTTTTTTGAGAGATTTTCGCTACAGGGCGTGTGCGCTCGCCAGACAGAGAGAGACATAGAGACAGAAAGCAAGAAATCACCCCCCAGGGGGGATGGCCACGCCGCAATCCCTTCTCCTCCATTCTCCTCTCGGGATCTTGGGCACGCACGCACACATGCCCAGCGTGAGTTCTAAGCCACCGGGTCCAGAACACGAACCGCGGTCGACTACGTGGGAATCCAGCGACATAGCCATTACGCTAACTGCTGGTTCCCACCTTCAGTCTTTTAAAACCACTGTCTGCCAAACTGTCCTTTAGGAGTACAGTTAACTGAGTAGAGGAAAGAGGAATGATGGTTGGCTTGGAAATACTCATTCTCTCCAGGGATGATATTGAGCATTGGGGAATTTCCTTTAGGCAGATCTTAAGTACATCGTTTTTATAACTTGTTCTTTTTTTTTTTCTTTCTTCTAAAAGAGGAGGGTGTGTACTTGCCTAAGAGACAAGACAAAAAGCGAGAAATCACCCTCTCTCAGGGGGCAATGGCCATGCTGCAATTGCTTCTCCTCCATTCTCCTCTGGATTTTGGACATAAATGTACATGTGCCTGACTTAAGAGTTTTAAGTCACCGGATCCGGGACTTGAACTATGGTTGATTACATGGGAGTTCAGCGACGTAACCATTATGCTATCTGCTGGCCTCCCTAACTTGTCCTTTTAAAAATTATGTTTCTTTTTCATTGAGAATATTATACATTATATATTTTTTCTTTTAAGAAGTATGGTTATGGTTTTAAGATGGTTATTCATGGATCTAAATATTTTCACTATTTTAGGAAGAAGAGAAATTAATCCAGCAGGAACTGAGTAGTCTGAAAGCAACTGTTTCTGCTCCTACTACAACTCTGGTAAGCTTGCGTAGGCAGTGCTAACACATATAAATTTGAAATTTGGTCCATTGTTGACTCAGTAGTGGCATCTAACTGATCACGTGCTAAAATTTGACCTTTTAAAAGGGTTTCTTTTTTTTTTTTAATTAAATAAGTATTTATTAAACTTTATTTATTGTCATTATTATTATTATTATTTTTTTGAGAGGGTTTTCCTATAGGGCATGTGTGCTCATCAGAAAGAGAGAGACAGAGAGACAGAAAGTGAGAAATCACTCCCCAGTGGAAATGGCCATGCTGCAGTCTCCTTCGTTCTCCTCTTGGGATCTTGGGTACGCACGCACACGTGCCTGGCGTGAGTTTAAGCCACTGGGTCCGGGACTCGAACAGTGGTCGACTACATGGGAGTCCAGTGACATAGCCATTATGCCAACTGCAGCGACATAATTATTACGCCAGCTGCTGCTCCCTATTGTCATCATCATTATTATTTTTTTTTGGAGAGGTTTTCGGTATAGGGCGTGTGCGCTCACCAGACAGACAGAGAGAGACATTAGAGACAGAAAGCAAGAAATCACCCCCCAGGGGGGATGGTCACGCTGCAATCCCTTCTCCTCCATTCTCCTCTCGGGATCTTGGGCATGGACGCACACGCGCCCGGCGTGAGTTCTAAGCCACCGGGTCTGGGACGTGAACCACGGTCGACTACTTGGGAGTCCAGCGACATAGCCATTACGCTAACTGCTGGTTCCCCCATTATTTTTTAATCTGATGAGAGAGAGAGAGAGAGAGAGAGAGAAAGAAAGAGAGAGAGAAAATGAGAAAGCAAGCCCCCAGGTTCAAGACTTGAACTGGAATCATTTTGCCTTTGTCGGGTCAGGGCCACTGTGATAATAATTTCGTAAATGCGATGATACCCCTGCCACTCCTGTGCAAGGCTTGCTGTTTTAGTGTTGTACTCTTGGGAAAGGTAGGGTATATCATTTAATGTAAGTTTTTAATACCTGAATTGATAAGATTTTTTAATTTTACTGTCGTATGTTTTAGAGTGTAAGTTGTCAAGGTGGAGTAATTGTTTTCTTGTTGTGAAACTGAATACTTTGTATTTTAGCTAAATTAAGACCAATTGTGTTTAAACTTGGTTTTATAGAATTTGATTTCCAAACAGTGTTTATTTAGCAACTGTTTAATGAGTACCCACTATGTGTAGGCCGTTGTGGGGCTGCCCAACATAGATTTGACATGGCTTTTTTTCCTTTTAATAAGATTTTTTTCAAGCAACACGTATTAAGCAAATATTGAGTGCCTTTTGTGTGTCTCTGTAACAATGTTTTCCTTCCTGCCAGTGAAGATATCAGGAAGGTAATCTTTTTTAAAAGAATTATTTTATTTAACTTTATTTATTTATTTACTTATTTAAATTTGACCAGAGAGGGACAGAATGAGAGAGAGGGAGGGAGAGAAGGAGAGTGAGCAAGCAAGCTGCCAGGTCCAGGGCTCTAACCTGGTTGGCTGTGTGGGAGTCCAGCGCCCTTAACCACCATGCCACCTGCTGGCCCCCAGGAAGGTAATTTTGTATGATACATGATTATGACCTGCATATCACTTGGAAAATCTTAGAGATTGTATATGCAGTGTTTTGTATTATGGCCATGTGGGATGCCAGCACCCTTATCTACCAAGCCACCTGCTGGCCCCCATCTCTTTAAATTCTTCATGTTTACTGATATACGTGAAATAATGTTATCCTTGTTTAAAAATATTTTACTATTTCTTGAGCACTTAATAAGCCTGTATTATGCTAAGCCTAATTAATTTTAGATACTAAAATGATCTGTGAGCTTTTCTTTTCTTTTTTTGTTTTTGCTTTTCTTTCTTTTAAAACATTTTATAGACATATTTATACACACACAGAGAGTTTTTTTTTTTTTTTTTAAGAGGTATTTTGCCTTTGGGCATGTGTGTTCACGGGAGAGGGGGGAGAGAGAGAGAGAGAGAGAGAGAGAGAGAAAGAAACAGACAGAGAGAGACAGACAGAGAGAGAGAGAGATAATAGTGAGAGGGAAAATGAGAAATAACGCCTTGGGGGATTGGCCATGCTGTAATCCCTTCTCCATTTTCTCCCTGAGTCTTGGGCACACGTGCACATGGCGCTCGGCATGATTTTCAAGCCACCGGATCTAGGACTTGTACCACAGTAGGCCATGTGGAAGTCCAGCGATGCAACTGCCATGCCATCTGCTGGTCCCCATACTTAAAAAAAATTTTTTTTTTTTTACATTTTTGCCATAGGGTATGGGTGCTCACCAGAGAGAAACACAGAGAGAAGGAAAGTGAGAAATCATCCCCCCCAGGGGGAATGGCCCTGCCACAATCCTTTGTCTTCCATTCTCCTCTCTGGGTTTGCACACACATGCACATATGCCTGGAAGGCTTTCAAACCCCTAGGTTTGCCACTCAAACTGTGGAGTGGGTCATGGTAGATCCAGCGCCTTCACTACCATGCCACCTGCTGGCCCTTATTTAAAATTTTATTTCTGATTAAAATTTGCTATAAATATTGCGAGTGGAGACATTATTGTACTGATAAAACAAATTCATAGAATCTCTTAAAAAAGTTTAGCTTGCTTTGCAAATGTTGAAAGACCCCATCAGAAAGTTAAATATTGTGGCCAGCAGGTGGCACGGTGGTAAAGGCGTTGGACTCCCACATGGGTGACTGCAGTTCAAGACCTGGATCTGGCAGCTTGCTTTCTCTCTCTTCTCGCTCTGGTCACTCTGTCCCTCTCTGGTCAAATTTAAATAAATAAATAAATAAATAAAGTAAAATAAAATAATTCTTTTAAAAATAATATTAATAAAGATAAAAAGTTAAATATTATTGAAATGGATGTACCATTAATAAAATCATGCCTTTCAGTTTATAATAATTGTGAGTTATTTAGAATGAGTGCCTGTAAAGTACACTATTACGTAGTATATGTAGTATAATAATTCTAGAGAAAATCTATGTGCAATTTGATTTTTAAATGTGAAAAATATTTTGTTACAGAGATTATTACCAACTTGTAGGAGTTTTATGGATGCCGTTGATTTACAGTATATAAACAAAAAAATCCAACAAAATATTTAAAATAATTTTATTATAATTAATAGTGTTGATATTTAAGATTGGGAGCCACTTTTATTTATAAAGTCTGATATGGGGTGACATTAATATACTCAGTGCCAGAATTAAAGGATTCCTTTGTTTAATGATAAAAAAAAAGGTCAAAGTGTTCTATTTATATAGTTACTGGTTATTTTGCTTTTCAGAAAATGATGAAGGAATGTATGGTGAGACTTATTTATTGTGAAATGCTTGGATATGATGCGTCTTTTGGCTATATACATGCAATCAAGTTGGCCCAGCAAGGAAACCTCTTAGAAAAAAGAGTAGGTATGTGTATGTTCAAGAATTTCATACTTCAACATTGTCCTTGAAGTTTTAACTACTATGTAAAATGAATGATGGTAGGTATATAGCATGTTTTATAACATCATATTTTACTTTTTTTATAATTACTTTTTATTTAATTTTATTTATTCATTCATTTATTTTAATTTGACCAGAAAGAGACACAGAGAGAGAGAGAGAGAGAAAGGGAAAGTGAGAAAGCAAGCCATCAGTTCCGGGACTCAAACTGTGATCAGCATATGGGAGTGTCCAGCACCTTAACCACCATGCCACTTGCTGGTTCTCATCATATTATAATTTCCAAAGTTTAAAAAAAATAAGGGAAACACAAAGCCTTTAAGTGAAATCAGTTTTCCTGATTCATAGCATTTTGGAAATATAGAAGAGGTTAAAAAATGGTCTGGTTTTGTGATGGTAGCTGGATAAATCTTTGAGAGGTTTTCAAAAAGATCATAGAAAATATTTATTATGAAAAGAACTATGCATGGGACCAGCAGTTCACGTCCCAGACCCGGTGGCTTAAAACTCACGCTGGGCGTGTGTGCATGCGTGCCCAAGATCCCGAGAGGAGAATGGAGGAGAAGGGATTGTGGCGT